TAAAAATGTGTACTAATTGTATTGCTGGTTGCTATTGAGATTTAACTTGCATGTGTCGCAGCTGGGAGCCCCATCAGCTGTCAGAGCTCCCAGTCACAGGGGTGCACCATGCCCAGCATGAAACCCCAGGTCCAGGGGAATCACAGCTGCTGTGATCCTGTGATCCCTAGGGCTCAGGAGTTTGTGAAACCCCTCAGCCTGAGGGATGGCAGCTATAATTTCCAGAGCTCAGGGGTTTCACATACCCCAGAGCCTTAGGAATCATGGCAGCTACGATCCCCAGGGGCCAGGGTTTCATGCAGCCCTGAATCTGGGTGATCACAGCTGCCACAGTACCTCAGCCCAAGTTGGGAGCCCCTCAATTGAAGGAGCTCCTAGCTGTGGGCGCTTGCTATTTGCCAAGGTAGGGGAGCCCAGGATCAGGCTCCCCCTGTACTGGCGAGAAGGTGTGATCTGATCTAATGAACAATCCCACAATTACACCTCCTGCCATGCACGTTACATGGCAGAAGGCACAATTGTGTGGATCACACATTGAATCCCATTGTGCCTTCACCTGCATGGGCAGAAGGGGCCTAATTACTTCACTGGAACAGACCATTGCAACTCTAGGAAAAACATCAAGTTTCACTGAGTAATAGTTATGAGGATGGTCTCAAAGACTTAAAAGAAACTACACTTCTGAGTAAGGACATGGTTGTAGATTTGGGCCCTTTATAAGCAGGAACTCCAGCCAAGTAGCTAAATTAGAGTTAAGAGAAATGACCTGAAAGCAGAAGAGAAGAATTATTCAGGGCAACACAGCACTTAATCCAAGAAACAAAAACTACAAATAAAATATGTTGGAGCAGCACATTCCATGGGCTCGTGTTTAAGAATCTTTCAACGGATACATTTGAAAGCCTGCTTTTAGAGGAGTGATAAACTCAGTTCAAATTTGCTTCAGGGCTAAAATTTACAACACAGTCTCTTGGCTTGAGCGAGCCAGCTTCATTTAGAATAAGTATAAAACATTTGTGCTCTTTTTTATTTCTACTATTCTCAAAAATTAAAAACAAAACATGACAAGATAAACAAATTTTTAAAATCCTACTTTGCTTATAAGCCACATAAAAGACAATATTAAATAGTCAAAATAACCTTGACCCCTACATTTATAACTCTGAAAAGGCCTACTTTGAAGATTTCGGAAATTTCACTAAAAAGAAAAACAAAACAAATGTTCCATAAAAATTATATTCACTTTAAAAGAGAACTATTTATTTCCATGAAAGACTCCACAGCATTATACCTGAGAGGGAGAGAACCCAAAATAAAAAAACAACAAGATTTCCTCCATGGCACTCTGAGTCAGGGAAGCCTAGAAAATGCTATCAGTATGACAGCTTCTCTATGAAGGGAAGTAACACAGGAATTGTTGAGAAAAATGGCAATTTTTCCCCTGAAATTCATAAATGACCAGAATCCACACAACTGCACCACAGCTGTGCAAAACCTTGGTGATGAAATGCACACACAGGTGAAACCTAGTTCATTTAAAAGCCATTTCAAAGCCCAACATTTCACATAATGTTTGTTAAAAGATCTGTTGCAAACTGTATAAACTTTGGCTCAGCTTTAAGCAAGCGATGCAAAAATCCACTATTTTAATGGTTTTAACTTGAAACCAGAATTAAGGTAATGCTTAACTGTCTGCTGCTTGAGTCACTAGGATGCCTTTTTTCTCCTGGACACCACCTCTCTGCTCTTAAATAATTTAAAAAATAATTAGTATTTAAATAATAATGACACCTGTTAATGATACTTGGTTCATTATAAGGTTTATTCTGGAACCAAAGTGAAAATCAGAAGGGCTTTGGAATTCTCAAAAGGGAAGAAAATACAACTCAATCTATCTCTCTGATAATGTCTGGAATTTAAAGGCAACCCCTACTGTTTTCAGATTTAAGAGCTATGAAGGAAGAAACTTCACCCACCTTTTGCTAGCCTTATTCTCAACTATACATTCAAATGCAAGGCCTAGTTTCTCAGATGAGGACAAGCTCTGCATTTGGAGAATGCAGAGAAAATAAAGACATTCTTACACATACCCAATGCCTTGCTCTGCCACTGTGGCCACTGAGGTGTCCACATGAGGGTGACAGCCAGGATGGTCCTGATTATGTCCCATCCACCCATTCCCAACAGGGAAATGCACTGGAGAGGCTACTTCAGGCTCACTCCTAGCAGCTGCTCTGGAGCACACTGGAGACTGAGGTCATGACAGCAGCCATAGAAACATGCCCAAGAGCATATTTCCTCCTGTGGGGTAAATGGGGAAGGGCACACTCAACGGCATGCCTGCCAGGTCACACTGCCACTGGTGTGCAGACAAGCTTTTAGCGGACACTCTGGTTTCTTCAAATTTGTAAGATATAATGGCCCAAGGAACTATTCAGGCAGCTGGGCTCTTCACTCCATCTGGAAACTCCTCCTGCCTTAGAAGACATTCAAATATATCTTCCTCACAGAGAACTGTTAAACAGTGGCAGTGAAGTAATTTTTACTGGGTTGCTTAAACCAGCATTATGGCCCTGCCATGGAAAATGTCACAACCAGACCCAGAATTTGACCCATGATCTTTATATAAGTAAAACTTAATATTATAAAAATTAGGTACCTTTCAGACACAGTGTGACAGGGGGCAACTCTCGGGGCCAGGTCTCATGCCATCCTGCCTACCTGTCTCTATGGGGCAGTTCACCCAGTCTCGCCTACCATGACTTTGCTGTTCCCATAACTGGTGGAATAATGCAGGAGGCTGCCCATTCCCAGCCCCGATGCCAGCAGGCACTATCTGTGGCTTCGAACCTCTCCTACGCTGCAGCCCATGCCTCGCAGATGGCATCTCAGTTCCTAGCGACTCTGGCCCCACACTGGGCCCCATAACCCTCCAGGCTGGACTCCAACTAGATCCCTTCCCATAAGGCGGTCTACTCCATCCTCATTTTGGGCTGCTTAGCTCCCTGCATTCTTCCCCCTCTCAGGTGTGCCCCTCCCCACCCAGGATCTTTGGCCACACGCCCTCGCCTCACCTCCAAGGCCAGTCAGAAACCCAGGCCCTTGGCTCTGGGCATCCCTCGTTGTGGGCCCCTGGCTCTTTTGACTCTTCTAGTTCTGGCCCCAGCATTGACCAGTGGAGGGTGCCTCAAGTCAGTCTTCTGAGCAACTAGCTCACACCCTCTTACACGGGTCCTCCTTCTTGGGCCCTACTAAGTAGTCACCCATCCAGTTGTGGGAGCTGGGGTTATTAAGGCGCCCCAACCCACCTTTCACCAGGGAGGCAACACATCCATGGCTGGGTGCAGTTTTAGGTCATGCCCAGGACCAAGAGCCTCCTGCTTTTACCTTCAAGATGTTCCAGCTGCAGCTCAGCCAGGCAATGTTTCTGCCTGTTCTGGCAGCAGAAAACTGCAGCCTTTATATCCCTTGTTCTAAAAATGGCTGCTGCCATCAGGCACCTGGTAGCTGCCTGACTCTGCCCTTAAAGTGGCAGGCACCCAAAGGTGTACTGCCAGACACAGGCTATCTATAATAAGGGACTCAAGTTTCAGGGAAGGCTAAGGGACAAATTCAAAAGAAGTGGCTGTTGATTTTAAATTATATGAAAGTGAAGTAGTGCACATGGTACGCTCTAACATTCAGATATGCGGTGTACGCTGCAGATGAAGAGTTTTAAACAAGGAGTGTGAACAAGTGAGAAATTATGTTAAAACAGCTCCTATCCCATTTTAACTTACATTCACACCATTCTCAGTCAGATCATGTAAAAAAGAAATCAACTTCCACTATAGTCACACTTGCCAAATTCACACCAGACAGGCTTCTCATCCGCAGCATTCATGCATGAGCCATTATTATATACTATACTTACTAGGGCTTCAGCAGGTGTGTGGGGTTAAAAATCTGAACCACTTACACTAAGTACAGACAGTCAAAAATCCTGAGGCTGAATCAATTCAGTCTTCACAGGTTAGTCTAAACTGTATAGATTAAACTGATAAGAAAATTGAACAGACATTCATTTTTTATTCTGGAAATGCAGCCACATGCCTGCAGTGGCTCAGGCCAGAAACTGGGGGACACTAGAGCACACCTCCCTGCTCAGCTGGATCAGACAGCTTGGGCCCAGGCTAGCTCACTGACCCCGCCATGGGGAGGAATGCAAGGGAAGGTTTGTGGGGAAGGTGCAAAGTATCCTGGGATACTGGGGGACTGAGCTAACTTGAATCTGGAGGAGATCTGGGCAGAAGTTCAATAAACTGATTTAAACCTAAATCAGCTAATGATGATACTACATCCATCCAGGTTTATCTTTAACTGGCTTCAGTGACTTTGAGAGCAGTTTACATGCACTGAGCTTCTGTTGTGTTACAGATTTAAGCCAGTTTCCAATACTTATACTGGTTAATTTCTGTCTGTAGCCTTAAACATCAGATGATCTGATCTAAAGTCCCTAAGTCAGAGGCCTGGTTTCAAATTGGAATATTTTCTGAGGTAAAATCTGATATGGTTCTAGCTACTAAAATGTGTGAGGCCTATGTAAGGTCCACTTGAACATGCTTAATATTTTTAACCAAATTTATATTCCAAGACCAAGAAATTCTAATTAATAGTTCTTGGGTGTGAATTTCCTGGCAGAGAAGGCAGCATTACCAATAAGAGTGTGGAGAGGATATTCTGTACTTCAGCTGTTGCATTTGGAGATTTGTAAATATATACTGACATTTCTGAGCCCACTAGCTTACTTTGCAGGGGCAAGTGTGGGTACAGTGAAGGAAAGAATGAAAAAAAAATAGTGTGAAGGTGAGAAAATAAAAAGCATACTTTTTGAAAGGCAAAGATCAATGAAACTGATAGAAAAGCAAATGGTAAAGGAAAACACACACTTGTACAGAAAATCCAACACTATTACTATAAAGCACGTACTCAGGAAAAGTCATCTCCAGCTAGGTACTTACAAGTAATATGAGTAGGAATATGCATTTCTTCTAAATATTGATGGCCAGTCAGATGAAGAAAATGTCCAAAAAGGGAAAAAAAGGGGAAAAAAAACATAATTAGACTTATTTTGTTTCTCTGAAATGTATGCAAATATATGTGCCATCCCTTGTACTGAGCTGTTTCTTTTCTAAACCTTTCCTGAAAGGCTGACATAGCCAACAGGGTAAGAAGATAGATTTGGCATCAGGAAATGATGGATCAATTCCCAGCTTTGCTGTCAACTTGCTCTGCCACCTTGAGCAAGTCACTTCATCTTTCGTTGCCTCAATGTCCCCATTTCAAGAATGCAGCTAATGAAAACTTTGTAAAGCACTTTGAGATCTCTGGATGAGAAAGCCTAAGTGGAAGCTAAGTATTACATCAAACGCTAAGTAACAGACAGTTGTACATCTTTTGACATCCTACCACATCTGAACAAACAGAGAACTGATTTACCAAGTCTCATCAAATTCTGAATTGGTGGTTGATAAGGACATGGCAAATGATTCATTATGGATTCTGGTAGAAACAAATATTTGATTTGTAGTGGCGATAAACATGTTCCCATTCTGTGTCATTACTTAATGACTGTTAAGCATTTCCTATAAAAGCCCTCCAAGAAGATTTAGCACATTTTGATATTCTGCATTCTAAGGAAATATGTTTTGGCAAACATATGTTGCAGGTCATGGCACTTTCTTGTTGGAAAACCTGTGCAAAGTCCCTTGTAGCAGGTCATTCCAAATCAGATATGGCACAATGCATTACAAGGTATTACACATTACCAAACACGACAAGTCAGATCGTTGTAGGTAACAGGCACAGTCATGACAGAAGTGGAGCAATGAAACAGAAGCTTCATCTTTATAATTCTATAACTTTTTGTTGTTGTAGGAACCACAAATACTGGGGTAGACTTTCAAAATGTAGGTGCAAAACATGAATGTAAAATATTATGATTAACCTGTACACATAATTAATCCAGCTGTATATGGACACTTAGTAGTTGAGCACATGAATGGTTAATTAGGAAAATCTGCATGCATAGTTATCTGATTTGTGTGCATAATAGCAGCAATTAGCACACACACATTGGGCATGCCCTCACATTTGCATTTGGCACTCCTGTCTTTTTTGTTGCAAATATGACCTACTTCATTTTCTCGCTCACTCACAATCTGCTGCCTATGAAGAAATTTCCTCAGGGGGAGAACAGCTGACTACAGATGTATAAAACAATTAAACTGAAACAACATGTTTTGCCTGATTACTGGTCTTGTTACAAACTCAAAACTCAAGCCAGGTTCTTAAAGGTTTCCCAGGCTTTTTAGTAACACTGGGTCCCCAAAACATGCATAGTTTCATGTTGAAATTGCATGGAATTTAGTGTTCTCTATCGTTTTATAGGATTCTGAATTAATTTCAACATACAAACAAAAAGATGTGGGAAGTGAAAATCTATGAAGACAAAACCCAAGTAAATATTCCAAAAGGAAACTTTTGGAACCAAAACTGCTCCATGACACACAGTGGGCATATCTACTATGGATTGGACTAATTAGTTCTGCAGTAAAGTGTCATCATCTAGACGCATGGTGCTATTAGGTTGCAGTAAACTAATTAACTCCACCGTCAGACAGCCTCTTGTCACCTTGGGTGTCTCGCGGCTGGTCTAACCATTGACCCACCCACCTGTCTAGGGGAGTCCAACCACCTGCCTCGCCTTGATGTAACAGAGAAGTTGTTTATAGGCGGGAGGCTGCCCATTTGCTGCCCAACGCCAAGGACGTAATACGCAGCTCTGTACCACTCCTACACCATGTCCCATGCTTCACAGATAGCATCCAATTCCACTATTACTAATGACATTACTGGGCCCCCAACTTGGCCTATGGCCCACTCAGGTGTCTGTCAACATGCCTGGACCCCAGGCCCCACTCAGTGGGCCTGGGTCATGTGCTTTTCTCTTAGTGTGTGCTCCCCTAGCCTTTCCCCTCCATGGGGTCACTCACAAGGCAGTGGGGACTGAGGCTTTCTGGCACCCCATACTCCTTTCACTGGGGAGGCACAGGTGTGGCATTTCCTGGAGACTGCCCTACCATAGGCAGTCCCACCACACCATTTAACCCCAGGAGGCTGTAGTTTCAGGTCATGCCCCAGGACCAGGAACCTCCTCCCTCCCCATAGTTCCTACCTGACCTCCAGGTGTTCTAGGAGCAGCAGATCTCCAGATGGGTGATGTTACTCCAACAGCATCCCTCCAGCAACTGCCAGCTCAGGTCTGGGTTTATACTGAGGCTGCCCAGCCCCATTCTCCAATTCAGGAGCCCTCTTGTGGTCATATGACTGACTCTTTAGGCTGAACTGCATTTGCTAGCTGCTCCACAGCCTGTTCAAGCCTCTTAAGTGGCAGCTACCCAAGGTACCCTGCTACACCTAACATATCTACTTTACTGCAATGCATGTGTAGACACTGACCAGGGCTGGCTGGGGCACAAGGATGATACAGTTTAAGAGTGCCTGCTGGCTATCCCTGCACAGTAGCACCCTCGTGCCCCAGCCAGCCCCTGTGCAGCACCTTGAGCCTG